TTATAGTAAAAAAAAGAATATACTTTTGATAAGCTTCTAAAAGCTTTTAATATATTTCCCCAAGTAAACTATACAGAAAAAGAATCTATCGTTGGGATGTTATAAAAGAAGCCCACCAAGACTTCAATGCCTTCATTGATGATGTCTTTAATATTATCAAGGAAACTCGTAAACCCTTCCAGATAAAGACTGCTTACAAATCTGTTGATTATTTATAAGCCCTTGATATTTACAGCTTAGGTATCAGCGTTAAAGATGAATATTTTGAAATGTCGGCAATAGAATATAAGGACCATATCACAGAACACACCAATTACAATACTATGAGATTATAACGATGATACTGGATTATTTTTATTTAAGGAAGGTCCAGAAAGTGTGTGATTAAGAAATGATCTATCCTTAAACACTTATTTTATGGCCTTTTTTTTCCCTTGTCAATTTTTATTTTCTATGGAAATCTCTAGTGGCTCAGGGGTACAGCGACCCAATCCCTTGGCATTGATCACGGAAATTTGTACATTTTTCATTGATAAATAGACAAGTTCTTTGATAAGCATGCTAATTAATAAAAAAAGGTTACAAAATGAAACAAGGGCTTGACTGTATTATTATCGGTACTACCTAAACATGCATGTTTAATATTTGTTTATTAAAATCCCAAATTCGTTCACAAGATTGCGAATTTTCCTATTTTCCTTACCATGAATAGAATCCCTTTTCTTTCACTTTAGATTTATCATGTTGACAGCATAAGCGATTTATTCTACTCGTATAACCATTTCCCATTCTTTAATCTCGCGTGAGAGTTCTCACACGAGAAATGATTCCAGCCCTTTATTCTCTTTAATTGTTGAAAATCCATGAGCTTAGTTATCAGCCTTAACTTCAAGTGGTATCAGTAGAATTCAATATGATTGATTAATGGGATGAAATTCGTGATTTATTTTTTTTTTCGCTCTATTTAAATACCATAAAGAAAATTCACCATTCTCTTGATGGAACGGAACGACGATTTTCTGTGTTTTGATCTAAATTTCAATTTAAAATTTTTCCTTTTTAAAGCAATATTTGTCTTATAATTTTTTA